GTCGTGTGGCGTACCGGCAGAGGGTTCGACTCGGAATCAAGAGGTCCCGGGTTCGAGTCCTGACATGCCACCGATCTTGTACCCTTTGGAAAGGCACTTTACACGACATTCCTCGCTTCGCTCAGGTGTAAATGAGTATTGTATTGCCCGCTGTGTTGGTGGCGGCATTAACATAAGTTGAAAAACATGAGTGTGCCGTCACCACGTCTTGTGATTACATGTTGGAATAAAAAATCAATACCCCAAACAACACTTATTTTGTGGGACGTGCCGACTAAGCACTTTCTCTTTGACAAATGTGTGGGTTCTTGCACATGTTCTTGTGGGTTCTTGCAATAGCTGCAATATATTTATATAAATACTAGACATTTATCACATGTCTATCTATCGTTATGAAATATTATGCTTAAACTGGATTTCAAGTCAACTTTCCAGAAACAGTTATTGTTTTCGGCATGATTGATTTGGCAATGTTCCCGTTAATATTGTTATCGGTTTCTCAGTTCTACTCCCCAGAGAAATCACAGCAACGGCAACAAAGATACCGCAGCATCCTAAATAACACGGCATTGTTCTCTCTACACTATTCAAAATGGCAAATTTATATTCCAGATAAACGTGGTTGAATGAACCCCAGAGAGATCGATCATGCACTCCTTTATTGCACTCATACTCTGTTTCAGCATAATCAATGGTACTTTAGATTTGATGAGCGGCTATTTGTCAACCATTACCAAGTACTACCGGCATTATGGCTCAGTCAGCACGTTACATGGCTACAGGGTATTCTGTTGTTTTGCCTGATCATCACATTAGCTTCTTGTCTAACATAATAGTGGAAAATTTACTGCAAGTTTTTGCCCGTAGGCAAGTACATGTAACATGAAAATAAAATATGGACCACAGGATAGATAACAATATAGTTTGTGACTACAAACTACCAAACACCAATTTATTTGGTTCGACTTCTTTTAAGGCGCGGTCACATTTCCCAACCCGGGGCCTGAACGAAAATAATGATATATGACAGCAAAACACACACACACACACACACACACACACACACACACACACACACACACACACACACACACACAAACCATTTAGAAAATTGACTATGAGAACTATTTGTGTATACTCTTAATACGAATTGATTATTTTTTCGATTGTGTGTATCTGACACCTGGTGTTAAGGAGCATACGGAGGCAGTTAGATATGTGCCTTACGGAAGGCCATGCACAAAGAATCCGGCACAGGCGATAGGTTCTGCTTTCCAGCTATTTTTAGATGCCCCTGATGCCAATAAAACCTACACGCAATTTTAGGCATCGATCCCCTGCCTGACATCCGAGCAATACAGATCTGTATAAATTATTAACACCACAATGGGAACTGCAAGATGCACGTTTTCTGTTGTCTCTGCAAAATCTTATCACTGCTTCCAACGTTCACCGCTATTAGATGAAAATGATCTTTTTTCTATCACATTTTGATTCCCGTATATCTATATCTCAGTCAACACACCCAACTAAACAATCATGGCAATCTAAAGACATTGTCATACAACAAGTACGAAATGATGAACCACAAAATCATATCACCGCTATCTAAAAGAAAATGGTCCAATATCCTTAATCTCGCTTGCTGGGTCACATTTTGATCATGTTCCATTATACCAGTATCTCTGTAAATACTCCCATTTAATACAACGGCAATCTAAAGATATTGTCAAGAAACAAGTACCATATGATGTGAACATGGTGTACTCATCACATGCCAAAATGATCAGAATCATATCTAGAAGGCAGCTATTGCTTGGTACTTCAATGCACATAAATATTGCTGAATATTCTACATATATATCATATGTGTCATATATAGGTATCTATTTGCCGGTTGGAGCTGTTTAGGCATTGCCTTGACTCTAACATCTATCACACTCTCAAAATCAGCGATCGTCAGCAAAGTTTGCAGCTTATTTGATATCCTTTCCTGGGTGCAAAAACACATTTGTCTCTCGCGACTCCCCGATATCTGTCCAATCTCGGCCCCTCTTTCTGCTATTGATGGGTTCCTCATCCCTGCAGATCCAAGACTCCTATAACTCAGCAAGATGCTTCCTGATATCTTCTCCTCAAGTGAGGAGGCTAAACCTCACGAGACACTGCTCGTCTTAGACTTTAGGAACAAAGCGATAGATCACCCTCCCACAGGAACAGATATGGGTGCTCCTGTGGTATTAAATGGTTTGCGGACATCTCAGTAGCAAATCCAATAAGAAGGCATATCTAAGCTGGTATCAAATTACGCCACGATCATCGCGGCTCGGCGCGTATCGAGGTCGCCGTGTTTCGACCCCCTGTAATTGGAAACCGCGTAACTTTGCCAAAACTTTCATGCGAGAAGAATAAAGTTTTGATTGTATCCAACCCCTGAGGTCATTTGCAAAGTTCTGCTGAGGGGAATATTAGATTACTAGTCATGATTCCACTCCTGCATTCACATTCTTATGTTGTTGTTCTCTCCTTGCAATAGCTTCAAAAACTATCTACACAATCTACACAATGTCATTTAGTTCATCTGTCCTTCTAGATATGTGATGACGATTCCAAAACAACTTACAACCTAAACAATTATTACCGTCATTATTATTTGCTCTCATGTTATATTGATAGGAAATCCGAAAGCCGTGAATAATTTCATCATGTTGGTGAATTATTGAATAGCAACGTTCTTTAGCTTTATTCACAACCACTTGTTTAACAAGAGTCATCCGTCATCTTCATCAGGGTAATTGATCAGTGCACAGTGAACCAGACATAAATTGCCCTGATGAAGATGACAGATTGCCATATAGAAACGTCCACTCTTGTTTAACAAGTGGTTGTAAGTAAAGAACTTTGCTATTCAGGAGATAAAACATGTTTTCCGCAGGTACCTTGAGAGGATAGGATTACTAACCCACAAGTTATGCTTTGCCTCCTGACTAACAGTTATAGTTGTTTCATGTATACGTCTATAGTAAATTTGACTGTGGTATTTAAAAGGAGATAAAACAGTTGCCGCAGTTTGCCTCAGGTAGCCAGGGCTTTATCGGGCTTGAGAGGATTACTAACCCACAAGTTATACTTCGCCTCGCGGCTAATACTGTTATAGTTGTTTCATGTATATGTCTATAGTAAATTTACCTGTGGTATTTAAAAGGAGATAAACATTTGCCGCATGTTTGCCTCAGGTAACCAGGGTTTTATCAGGCTTGAGAGGATAGAGTTACTAGCCGGAAAGTTATGCTTCGCCTCCTGGCTAACTGTGTTATTGTTTTCATGTATACGTCTATAGTAAATTTGAATATGGTATTTAAAAGGAGATAAAACAGTTGCCGCAGTTTGCCTCAGGTAGCCACGGCTTTATCAGGCTTAAGAGGATAGGGTTACTAGCCGGCAACTTATACTACGCTTCCATTGCTGTGGTTATCATGTATATGTATGTCAACCTGGTTTTTAAAAAGTAGTTTTATTTTTAAAATTGTTTGATTTTCGTTGTGTATGTTGCCATGTTTCAATCCCTTGTTAAAATGATCTTGTATGTTTGCATATGAGCCAGGGGCCTGAATTAAAGAGTAAATAATACTTTTATAGGAAATTTGAATGTGGTATTTAAAAGGAGATTTTCGTGTGTTTTCCTCAGGCACGCACGGGTTTAAAGAGTTTGAGAGGATAGCGGGAGTGAAGCTGGGGTGGCTCATCCGGACCGTACAGAGCTTCGATCATAATACTCATAATAATACTACTCACCTCAAGAAAACATACAATAGTAATGACACCGGGTATTCCGTACTCAGGTACGCACGGGTTTATAGAGTTTGAGAGGATAGCGGGAGTGAAGGGGTGGCTCATCCGGACCGTTCAGAGCTTCGATCATAATACTCATAATAATAATACTACTAATACTCTCCTCAAGAAAACATACAATAGTAATAATTATTATTCAATCTGTAGATTCTGACATGATTGTAATTTGTATTACCCTACTTTAATTAATGATTTATGTTGTAAACAAACACCAGAATTCAGCCCTGTATGTCAAGGCTGGGAGATATGTTGTTGATACAAATAAACCAATAAATACAAAATTATAAATAATAAATGATACTAGGTATTCCTTTCCTCAGGTACGCACGGGTTTATAGAGTTTGAGAGGATAGCGGGAGTGAAGGGGTGGCTCATCCGGACCGTTCAGAGCTTCGACCCGACGGAAGACCCGCGCCGCATCCGGGTCCGCAGGCAGCTGCAGGCCATCAAAGCAGCAGGTTAGCCATGCCAAGGGTTGTCCGATCCTATCTGCATCCCTTTGTATGATAGCGATATCATTCTCATGCCCGTAGCTGGGGTGTGGGGGTGTGGTCGGGGGCTCAAAAGATCCACAAGGCTCAAAAGGTCCACTTTTTATCTAAAGGTTCAAAATTTTTCTTTAAAAGATGGTATGATTCGTATCACCGTTGGGGCTGGAATCAGAGAAAAACTTTGTCACTGAATAAAACGTTGTGTCTGATTTTCCCTTTGAAATCTTATAAAAAAACGCAGGAAATGCCATTTTAGAAGGTTCAGTTTTCAAAATGTTCCGGGGAGCATGCATGGGCACCCCCCCCCAAGGAAACTCGCGCCTTCGCTGGTCCGTCAGACAGTGTGAACGACCCCCCCCCCCCATTCAAAATCCTGGCTATGGGCATAATTCTCTACAGCACGTCGGCAGAACGTCTCATATAAGATCGTGTTTGCGTACATAAGGTTAACACTCCGTCTGTAGTTTCCAAATGTTATGTCGGAAAAAAATATCGTCTGCAAAATGGAAAATTCTGATGCAACGCTGACCAAACATCTAACGAAAACCGTGACAAATTGGGGTTTCCCGAAGGCGCTGTACGTTCTGCCGACGTGTTGCCAGGGGTGTCAGATTCTATCTGCATCCCGTGAGGGTGTGTATGTGGGTATAATTACACCATCTGCATCCCGTGAGGGTGTGTATGTGGGTATAATTACAACATCTGTATCCCCAAAGGGTGTGTATGGGGTATAATTACACCATCCTCCCGAGCAGTAGCGATGTCGCTGCCGTTTGACCCGAAGGCCTCGTGTGTTTTGTCGGCGCTCCTTTGCCCTGACCTGTGCGCTTATCCAGGATCAGGCATCGTTACAGCGTTAAGGCTGCTAGGAGGGGATCCATCACGTATTGAGCCTAACCTGTTTGAATTCATCATGAGTTAATGTGTTGCACCTGTGCGAAACCCGTAATGTATTGTGCATGTCACTTCGGCAGAACGTCTCACACAAGGTCGTGTTAGCGTAATATAAGGTTCACATCCCGTCTGTAGTTTCCAGAGGTTATGTCGAAATAGATGTCGTCTGCAGCATTCTGCAGCGTTAAGGCTGCTAGGAGGGCATCCATCACGTATTGAGCCTAACCTGTTTAAATTCATCATGAGTTAATGTGTTTCAAGCCCGCCGGTAGCAGTGAAATCATCAACGTCCTTTGAGTCACCGCAGTCAGGTGATGGCAGACGATTGTATGAGAGATGGGGTGTTAAGGGCGATGCTCCACGAATTTTCATTCTTATCTTTTTCCTTCAGATATCATTAGTAATGGAAATAAGTATCAATTCAGTCAGTATTCATGAAATCCAGACTATTGCGGTGAGTCCTGATCATTTCTTGAACAGTTGTCAGGAGCCTAGAATTATAGCAAATGTTGCTATTGAAATCTCTAGATGAGAGATGAATGTGGAAAATGAAAGTTGTTTCTTGAATAGATTTTATCTCAAACGGAGAATGTGGGACATTACGTCTTCCATGGTTTAGAAAAGGGAAGTCATAGTTTTAGACATAGCTATAGTTTCAGACAATTACCTTTTATTATGTAGATTTTCAAGTTATTTTGTTGATTGCCTTCGGATAGGGATTTGCAATAAACTTATCTTAAAGTAAACGATAATATTTTCTGTTTAAAGTTAAAACTTTTGGTCCAACACAAAAAAATTCTCTCACCTAGAGCTTTCGACCAGTCACTCTGGTCTTCCTCAGTAGAATGACCCAGTGAGGCTTGTTATGTGGCTTATTTGAAGTGTGACGTCAACACTGGGTCAAAGGTATCTGGTAGACGATGTCGGCCCCCGTCGCGGTTAAGTGACATCACACTTTTTTTGTTTCAGGAGCTCGCATTGTGCTGTTGAACTGCCTGGCGTCCTTCGGCCTGGAGGTGTTACGTCAGGCGGGAGACATGGGTCTGACGGGGGTCGGCTGGGCCTGGATCGTCACGGATGGTGTCACGGGCATGGTAGGTGGAGGACATTGCTATATACACCGATATAGCACTCTAACTGTGGACACAGCAAACTTAGAGATTTTTGTATCTGTATCTGTATAGCTGGGATAACTACCCTTTGGCGTAACACACCAGCTTCTGTATCTGTATAGCCGGTATAACCGCCCTTCGGCGTAAAACAACAGTTTCGCAGGCACGCGGCGCAGTCTCGAAGTTGACACGGATGTTACCGCGAGACCTCTTAGATGAGAGTTCCCCTTCACGAAGACCAACAACATCAGCTTTTCTGCCTCACATCTTTAACATGGATCATCAGCTGTTGAGGTCGATAGCTATGTACAATGTATCTGCGGCAGATCTCTATCATGGATCGCGGGTCCAAATTGGATTTATTGCCGCTGGCAAAACCTATGAGCCGAGATACTGACCCTTTCATAGATTACGTTACGAATAGATGGATCCAATTAGGCGTTTGGCCTAGTGCCCCTCCCCCCACCGGTACTCCTGTACCCCCAGATGATGGATCTGATGGGCTGCCAGAAAGGGCAAACCCCGAGTGCGGATGATTGATATTGATTTTGAAACTTTTCCAATTTTCAGCGCAGTAAAGATACTTCGCGAACATTCCTAAACTACGGCTTCTGACGGCTTTATCACCAATGGGGCCTTTATTTATACTCAAACATGTAATCACAAGACGTGGTGACGGCACACTCAAGTTTTTCAACTTATATTGATGCCGCCACCAACGCAGAGGAGGGATACAGGACAAGACAATACTCATTTTCACCTGAGCGAAGTGAGGAAAGTCGTGTTAAGTGCCTTTCCCAAGACCACAATATCGGTGGTATGTCAGGACTCGAACTCGGGACCTCTTGGTTCCGAGTCGAGCACGCTGCCGCTACGCCACACGACCCCACAACGGTGCGGATGATTGATATTGATTCTGAAACTTTTCCAATTTTCAGCGCAGTAAAGATACTTCGCGTATCTAAACTACACGGCTTCTAACGTCTTTATCACCAATAGAGACTTGGCCGCGTGCACCTGTTGGATGTTTCCAATTCTACTGCCCGAGAAGAAGATTCGATAACGATGAGGAATCACGGAGAAAAGCTTGTCACAGGGCTCGCAATTGGTCGATATATGCGTCGTCCAAAAGACTTCATGGCTAAACCGTAAAACACCTAAAGTTTTCTGTTCCTAGCTTTCTGTATACATCGTACTTTTAAATAAATGACCGCCATTATGTATACATCTAACTTCCGCACGTTTGGGAACGCATTGTAGATACATTTCCCTGTAATCCAATCATGCATATGTGTAGATATGTAAATATTGTACATTTGGGAATGCATCTGTAGCAGGGACACCTGTGCTGCAGTGCAATGTGAACCAGTCAGAATTGCCCTGAGGAAGATGACAGACGGTCACCGAAACGTCGGTTGAATGAAAGACTTGGTCTTGGTTGTGTAAAAAGAGTCTCTTTACTCAGTGTCTTACCAACCTGATGAAACTATTCACGGACGTAAAACACCCCAGGTCCTTGTCGTACTTTACGACTACACTAACAGCAGTGATGCCATTTTTATTACTTCACACTCTGGCTGACCTGCCGATGTTGCAATCATAGTAATGGCAACAGACTCTGCCAAATGATTAGCTAAAGTACTCGCAATTATTCCGGTTATGGGTCTTCTGACCGTCGTACATATACATATACCCGAACAAGTCCAAACATGCGCCCCGACGTTGTACCCTTGGGAAAGGTACTTAACACGAATTTCCTCACTTCACTCAGGTGAAAATGAGTACCTAGCGTCGGTTAGGGACGTCCCTCGGATAGGACGTTAAATGGAGGTCCCGTGTTTGGGAGAGCCACACCCCACGCACGTTAAAGAACCCACCGCACTTATCGAAAAGAGTAGGAGACCTTCCCGGTGTGAGTGGTTCAAACCTTACAGTCTTGTCTCGGGGTTGGCATCTTTGAAGAGGTGATAGTCACCTGTTATGTCAATCCTTCCACAAATGTGGTAAATCTTCATAAGTAAAATAAATAAATAAATACATTGCGTGGCTTTAGCTTTCACCATGGGTCAACATGTGATTCATCTTTTACCTTCCGCGGGAGATGCCCAGACTTTCAAGTAGCAAGGGAGTTAATGAATACAGCGAGTGCTGCATACAAATGGGTAAATAATAGTTCAAGTTCAGCACCCATGGTGGAATGCGCATACGTTAGGTGCAGCGAGGTGCATCGTGTCGCCTTATTGCTCCATTTTTCGTCCGCCAGGGGCGATGCCTCATGCTCCTTACTTCAAATATACTTCCATTTACGGCAACTGTTGCTCAGGGCAGCTCACAGAAATATTGCCTCCCCGTAAGGTCGCGTGCTCTCTGGCAATAACTCGTGAAGACAGGCAGAGAGTAGATCATAATTCTTGGGGTGACCTTATAAGTTCAGCCTTAAGCTTGTTTCTCGAGTTTTGGCCCCAACTCTACGCACTTACATCCATAAAATACTTTTAAATTACTTTTTTTCGACAGGCTTTTAGTTGGGTTGATAAGCTTGATTTAGAAGTGGCTTCTGTATTTTGATAAAAGTAAAGTAACGAAACGTAACGTAAAGTAAAGCAATGTAGGAATAAAGTAAATGTCCAGTAAAGTCAACTTAAGTAACGCCACGTGACATCAGGTTAAGTCAAGTAACGTAACGTCAAATCAAGTAAGTAAACGTAACGTCAGCTAAAGTAAATTAAAGTCAGTTAAGTAAGGGTTTAATGATTTGAAAAGTGTATCAGGAGCTTTATGTATTCTGATAAAAGTAAAGTAAAGTAAAGTAAAGTAAAGTAAAGTAAAGTAAAGTAAAGTAAAGTAAAGTAAAGTAAAGTAAAGTAAAGTAAAGTAAAGTAAAGTAAAGTAAAGTAAAGTAAAGTAAAACCAACTCACGTACTAATACTTTTCGCCTTCCAGACGAGCTTCAGGAAGAACGAGACTGTTCCCCGCCACCTGCTGGGGTTACTGGGGGTCAAGCCGGTGGAGGATAAAGGCGAACTGTTCGGAGACTTCATGAAACTGTGGTCGGCAGCAGACGGCACCAGGTACCCGGGGGCAGGCGTCTGGGACATAGAGGTACATGTAACATTGTTTGTATATTATTGTGGTGCTTTCATGACTGTATTTCTAAATTTTATTTTTCTTTTTAACATCCGTTGTTTTGGTTTTAACATTAAAAAACTAATTGTTCTTACTCAGGAATGTCTAAGTTAGATTGTTACTCTTTTGTATTTTTGCACTTTTATATTTTCGTCTTCCATGTCTTTGCAAGCTAAATTCGCCGGTTTGAATCCCGCTGTCAGCATTATTTTAATTTTCTTTTTGACAATGCCGAAAGCCGGTCCGACTTATCGATGCCTTCATCTAGTTCTTTTACAGGTCGAGCCAGCTTTTCTTGTTCAAATTTATTTTAAAACTTTTACCAATACCTACAGCTTGTTATTGTCATGACATGTAAATGTAATTTGTCAATAAATCATTACTTCTACTACTACGCACTTATCCGGAGATTATCGACAATTATTGCTGCTCATTGTTATTCAGAACATGGCTAAGACCTGTGATTATTGCACAGCATGAAGATTATCTGCGTAGAAAATTATATGAGAACATAAATCGTGAATTGGTCTGCCAATAAAAGCTGTGGATTAACGATGCCGTAAGGTCTGGTTGTCAACATGCAATTAGATGTTGCCTAGAACAGCAGATAAGGTTGGAGCTCGCAGTTTGCTGTTCTTCAGTTCTTTTCGCCTTCATAAATCATGTCTCTACATTTGCTACGTATCGATGATGGAAATGCCAACGCATGTTATTTCTACATTCTTTGAAACAATCAACGTTTCGCAAGATTAAGTAGGGATTTAATACTCCACTTATATAAGAAATGCTTTCTAAAAAAGCTGGGCAAGATGGGAATAGCTGGCTGTGTGGCGTGATTGTGATGACGATGTGGGGCTCAAATAATTGGCCACCTTGGTGACTTGATATGGACTAATGCTGCAATGAGATCAGGTAAAATCCTGAGTGCTAGGCAGGCCTGATGCACAGCACGGGCATAACAATGGGCTTGAATGGATGATTGCTATCGATTCTGAAACTTTTCCAATTTTCAGTGCAGTAAAGATACCTTGTGTACCTAAACTACAACTTCTTACGTCTTTATCACCAACAAAGGCCAACAAAGGCTTTATCTACCTTGTCACAAAGACCCATGCCGCATAGTAAGTAAACAGTGGAGACAATGTAGTGTTTCCTCGTCGTCTTCTTTATTGTTTGGCGGCAAACATCAACGTTCTGATGGCTTTGCCGCATTTGTTTAGAGTGCTGTGCTGGGCTGTGGGTGGTATGTTATCGTTTTCAAATGGTGTTGTGTTTGGTAGATGGGGACTACTGCAGATGAGCCAGCCTGTGTGCAGCCATTGGCTTTAACAATGGTGGATGCGGTGTTTTTAGCCATTGGCGTTGTGCATATTTCAGGCGTATCCAGCTAAGTTCGTGGACGCCGTGTTGCTGTTCGCCTTCGCGTACCGAGACCTTCTGCGGGACGGCCAGACCATGACCGGGGCGGCGGTACAGTGTGATCAGTTCCCCCCACAGACCTGGCCGCACGGAACCGCCATGCTGCAGTACCTACGGAAGGTATCTTCCACACTTTATTATGTTTACCGAAGGAAAACATATTGTTTTTGCTCTGTTTCTTGTTCTTCTTCTTCTCCAAACAAATAAGGTCAATGACCTGAACCAGACGTCTGACACTATGATAACTAGTGTTGGGTTACATCATGTAGCAATTTTATAGACCATATGCTACCTAGATATATCGATTTTCTTTTACACTACTAGTATTGTCTCTTAACTTGCTTATCCTATATCCTATGCTCTACCACCCTATGAAACCATACAAATACGTAACACTGCATGAAAAGTTGGATTTACCAAAGGTAGTTAGATAATGTTTACTTTGCATATCGTACCTGTCTTGGTAGTAAATTAAAGTCAAATCCAGTAAGTTCATTTACAACCGTTGTTAAATCTGGAATCACCGTACTTGGCTTTTATTTACTACCATTTCTACCAGTCCGTGCCAGGACTGTTTATTAAAAAACATTACCCAATTTTACTGGTATTTACAACCTTTGGTAAATCAAAGTTTTTGTGCAGTGTAAGAAATCAAAACACAACTCTGTACTTAATTAGATGAAGATCTGTAGAGCGTTTGCTTTAGTGAATGGCTTCGGAGGATTGTTGGTGATAGAGATGTTTTTGATGTTGTAGAATGGTTTATTTAGAAACTCAAAACTAAAAGATATATAAACACAATACACTCTTTATACAACCTTACTGAATGCCTGAATTGTTCTGTGGTCAACACAAAATATCGTTAAAATATGCTGTTAAATGGTATTATTGTTCAAACCATTATTGATTACACATTGCTAATGTGCAAGTTTTTAACATTCCTTCATATAGAGCTTTTCAAAAGTTGCAGACGATGAAACATGAATGTTTCTTTGGCACATAGAGTCGGTTGCCGCTGTGAAAAAATAGGTTCCTTTTGAGCAAACGTAGAAATGTAAGAAATCAATGAAAAGTACATTTAGTAAGTGGACTAGATAGACATTGTTAGATAACGCATTAGGTAAAAGCCCTCCAGATCCGATACATCACAAAAAAAATCTATGTAAAGAACCATCAAATTGCCAATAACTACTGTCAAAGTCTCGTCGAAACCTATAATGATTAATGGTCTCTGGCAATTCACGGGTCATATCTGCGTTACGTGCGTAACGTACAGGTGACAAGGTGATGAACTATATCGATAAAACAGAACCTCGTGTGTTGACAGCCACTCCACGGAGTAGGGCGAGTCCAATGGTGTTAGTTCTTAGTCCTTTTGTTGACGTTGACGCTCCTTCCTGGCCATCCTTTTTGCCTCCACGGCGGCAACTCTCTCGCTTTCAAAGGTTGAGACAGCCGTGTAACAGTGGGGAGTTTATACTATAGGTGCTACCAACTGACGCGCCAATGGGGTCTAGACCTTTGAGCCGAATCGTTAGAGCGTCGGCATGTGGACTGGTGCCCGGGTTTGGTCGTGGGTTCGAACTCCGGCTCGGGACCAGGGGCTTTTATCTGTTTTTACTCGCTCCTCCTAATCCCATGTGGATCGATTCCCGACGTGGAAACCACTGTAAGAAACAGGAGGAGCGAGTAGAAACAGATAAAAACCCACTGGTCCCGGGCCGGGGCTCGGACCCACGACCTCCCGAGCACCAGCTGCAAAATCCGCCTCTCCTACCGAATCGGCTAATAGTCTATGCCCATCGGCCCAGTCAGTTGGTAGTGCCTATACCCCCCCCCACACACACACACACTGTTACACTCGTGCTATCAGTAAATATAGTAATGTTGATTTCATTTTGAATCTGTGCAACTTGCCTTTGGTCACTGATCCAATATGTACCGTCAAGTTTACGTCCAAGATCTATAAATATGTCCCCATAGGGAGACTTAATTTCGCTGCAGGAGGCGCCTTGAACTGCCCTTCACGCAATCTAGAAGCTCCATATTGGTTCGCGAAATGTCAGGCAGCAACAAGGAATAATTTTAAACTGCTAAAACCAGGAACATCAGTAGCTACTAAGTCATTCCTTTATAGGAGCGCAAAATCGTATAATACTCTCCCAGATCATATCAGAACATCTGTACCTTCTACATTCAAAACTCTTACCAGAGCCAGATTGAAACAAACGGACACAAACAGGATTATACAGAACTGGTAGTAGCTTGACGAGTGTATATATGTAATATTGTGTACTCATATTTAAATGTGTATGTCATAATTCCTGATGTCATGTGTATGTTATGTATATGTTACAACTTAAGACTCGTGAGGAAGAGCAGTGAAGTCATGTATATATAGTATATACTATATGTGTACCCTCACTAATGGAGTGCTTTTAAACAGTAAACGTGACTGTTTTTCCGCAGGTTTCTGAGGAGGGCATCTCAAGCAAGATTCTGTTCACCAAAGACGGAACGCCGAGTCAAGTCGAGTTTGATATCGTCAATCTGCACAGAAATGGATGGCAACGGGTAAGTACCACCAGTCCGCCATAAATAAAAAGATAATAATTAACGGCTCTCAGTGGCCAATGTGCAGATGTAGTCGTGTAAAGTGCCTTTCCCAAGGGCACAACATCGGGCCACGGTGAGTATCGAACCCGGGACCTCTCGGTTCCGAGTCCAACGCTTTAACCGTTGCGCCACCGACGCCACATACACACCATTCCGCCATGGTCGAACAGAAGTGTACTTAATGAGCTGATGTTGCCCCTTGACGGCAATCGTCTGTATGGACTACAGGCAGGCTATAACTAGTGGTGTGCTTACGTACAACACTAATGGTTATTTGTTATTGGGTGGGTCGGCTACTCTCTCATTGTTGCCAAGGGCTGAATTGTGAGGATCTGACAATATTGCAATATTGGGACTGAATGTGTGTCTGAAGCGGCTGCCGTGCGGAAAATCCAAAGTATCGGAGAAACTACTGAAGATTTCCACTGAAACCACCCCCTGTTTTAGCAAGTTTCCACTGAAACATTACCCTCTCTTCTAGCCAATCTCCGGCAAGCTGAGAAGTTGATACAGTTAGAAGCAGTTCGTTGTTAATGTGGATATAGAGTCCAGTTGTTGAGTCAGATGATGAATTGAACTGACGATGATGACGTGGAGGATATAGCAGGTCCCACAGCTCGTGCCAAACCTCCATCACCCTCACCACACGCCGTCCCCTCCTGCCTTCCCTGCCACACCAGACTATGCATGATGTACAAAATGACTAATAAACTGGTGGACGTCCCAACTACTAAGTACCTAATACCAGCCCAGAAGAGAACAGGACATAGCCATGCCTTAAAGTACCAGAGTTATCAACCAAGGATTGAGGTGTTCAAGAATTCATTCTTTCCTAGAACTATCGCAGAGTGGAACTCGCTGTCACCGAGTACAGTAGGGGCATTGTCATTAATATAATAGATAGCTTTAAACAATGTTTAGAGTTAGGGTTAGGTGTAACACGTCGTTCTGAGTAATGTAGCCAGCTGCCGCCGCGCCGCGTGCCTGCGAAGCTGGTGTGTTACACCGAAGGGTAGTTGTACCGGCTATACAGATGCAGCTCGTGCCAAACCTCCATCACCATCACCACGCCGTCCATTCCCGCCTCCCTGCCACATCTGACCGCTGATCCATTGTTCCCGCACCCGACATGACAACAAGACGTACCGATTTTTACCCCGCGAGTAGCCTTAAGCTGCGAGAGGTTTCGATTTATATGTAAAATCCGGGATGAAGTATTTGTGCCCTGTTTTATATCATCTAAAAGCTGCCCTGCCCTTACAGGATTTACCTCTCAGAGCAGACGTGTAGGCACCGTGAGCTTTTTCATTGTCACAGCAGGCAATTGTTCATAGCAAAATGAGTTAGTAGAACACCCTTATAGCCGTATCTACCTGCAAACGCTTATTGAAGCCTCGCGTATCTGTCAACTTAGCTTCCTGAGGAAAACCAAGTACAATTCAAAGCAGACTTGTAGGCACCATGAGCTCTCTCATTGTCAGAGCAGGCAATTTTCGTATCCCATGTAGCCAAATGAGTTAGTAGGACACAGTCTATCTGCAAATACCTATTAAATCTATGAAAGCCTTGGTAACTTAGCGTCCCCAAGAAAACCAAGTACAAGTCAAAGCAGACTTGTAGGCACCATGAGCTCATTCATTGTCAGAGCAGGCAATCGTTCACCCCATATAGCAAAATGAGTTAGTAGAACACCCTTATGGCCGTATCTACCTGCAAACGCGTATCGAAGCCTCGCGTATCTGTCAACTTAGCTTCCTGAGGAAAACCAAGTACAAGTCAAAGCAGACTTGTAGGCACCATGAGCTTACTCATTGTCAGAGCAGGCAATTGTTCACCCCATATAGCCACATGAGTTTAATAGCAGATCACAGTTATAGCCTTGTCTACCTGCAAACACCTACTGAAGCTATGAAAGCCTTGGCAACTTGGCGTCCCCAGGAAGACCATGTACAAGTCACAGCAGACTTGTAGGCACCATGAGCTCTCTCATTGTCAGAGCAGGCAATCGTTCACCCCTTATAGCAAAATGAGTTACATGTAGTAGAGCACAGTTATAGCCTACAAGTTGCCTATCTGCAAACACCTATTGAAGCTAGCCTGGCTTATCTATCAACTTAGCGTCCTCAGGAAGACCAAGTTCAAGTCAACTCAGAGTTGTAGGCACCATGAGAGCTCTCATTGTCAGAGCAGGCAATTGTTCACCCATATAGCGGAATGAGGTACTGGTAGTAGAACACCATTAAAGCCTTGTCTATCTGCAAAACATATTGAAGCTAGCCTCGCCTATCTGTCAATTTAGCGTGCAAAGTCAAATTTACCTTGGAGATAAGCAAAGGCCAATAAATATAAGCTGTTGGAAAAGTCCAGATCAGCCAGTATGACCTGGACAAAACGTCACGCATTACCGTATAGGGGTGCTCTGATACCTGAGCACACCTTATTCTAATTATTTCTATATAATAGGTTCTATATAATAGTGGGCAGAGCCCTATCTAGGGCATCCCGCCCAGGGTGCACGGCTTTTGCGGCCGTTGGGGTGCGGTGAAGAAAAATGTGCATGAAAATAAAACAAAACCGAACATAAATTTGTGCATTTTGTGAATGGCCGCAATTAGCAATCCCGACTTACATCTTCGAGCCGGGGTGGCCCAGATAGTTGTGTCACTAGGTTTTCCGGTAGTGCGTTCCATTCTATGATAGTTCTTGGGGAGTAACTGGTCTGAAAATGTTTGTTTTGCAACTGAGAGTATTTGGACTAATAGCAAAAAAATCATGACAGGAGAACACTCATCTTGAATTTTCGTCGATTATAAACTCACGGCTATCGATGAAACATGCCACCGGTGAACTGTTGTCGAAACTATATGTAAATCTTGCTGCAAAAGTGGAAACAAACCTCATTCGTATGCTAGTCGATTCCTGGTCGTTTCTTTTATGAAAACACTTCAAAAGAATAACCAAGAAACGCGGTTGCTTAGATCTAAGGCGACAAATGCTAAAGACTGGAGTGAAAGACTTCCTGTGGGACGTAACGGCGACAAAGAGTCGGCACGTAGAATGTCAAGGAAGACGTCCTGAGGAAAAAATAAAACAATGTTACTCAAGCAGCTTGATAGATTTCAAAGCTGCTCGAACGGCAAAGCCTATGACGCCTTGACAACTTTTGATGTTTTTCTCTAGAAACTGTCTTCTTCTAATTCTTAAGATATCCCCGGCTCATCCCACAACAAATCATGACGTTTTTTATAACGAAGCTTTATGTTGTCACTCCAGTAGCTATTGGTATATCATAAAATTTGTCACTTTGTCAGATGATTTGTCAGTGCATTTCCTGACAAAAACCCAACTATTCTAACTCTTGAAGGACTAGTTTCTAGCGGTATCAACCGTGGATTGGTTCATGAATTGTTTTAACTCGGTAGAAAATACAGCTCCCCGTTCCATTGTTTTAGCTTCAGGCAGATAAGAAGGGTAAAACTTGGCGAATCGCACAGCGTCAACGTCAGGGCGTCTTCAGATGGAATCACTCAATTCCACCTTCATTTCACGGCGGATAATTGCCAATCCTGCATGAGTTTCACGACCCGGTGCTTTATCTGTAAGGCATTAGGCTCAGAACGCCCAGCAGCGTTAACAGCGTCCGGTGGGGACAGGCTGGAGCTAAAGACATTGATGTAATCTTTGACTTATCACAGGAAACACAACAATAGACCATCTGGTCTTCCGATATCATGTTAGTGCAACGCCGAACCACTACCGTATCCAAAACCGTGCTTGTCTAGTTCTATGCCTGATGGTTTAGGGTTAGGTTCAGGCACGGTTTCTGGATAGTCTCTAACGTGTCCAAGAACGTAGATTTGCCTCCAGCACGCTTTTGGGTACGGGTGGGCTATCCAGAACCATGCCCATGAGCATGGGTTGAGATAAAGCACTGTTCTGGATGCAACACCTCTATTTTGACCCGTGCGCCTATAGGAAGTGTAGAGATGATTTACAGTATCAGATGTCACGCTCCCGGACTGGCGTCATGACGTTTGAGGTCATGATTGGGTCAACCCCAAAGTCTGATGTAGGGTCAAGGGTTAACGCCGTTGCCCTGTTAGCAGATTCATCATGAGTCGACCCGAGGCAATCTCGAGCTCTATAGAGGCTGTCAGTCATCACTTGTCTCTGTATGGACCGAGGCAGTGTGTCCAATGTGGACCAGAATTAAATGCAATCATGTATACAAAACCTGTAAGTGTGTGTGTGTGCGTGTGTCTGTCTGTCTGTCTGTCTCTCTATCTGTGTGTGTGCGTGTGTATGTGCGTGTGTGTGTGAGAGAGAGAGAGAGGGGGAGATAGGGAGACAGAGGGAGAGAAAGAGAAAGAGAGAGAGACTTTTCTTTACTTCATGTATCTCTGTCGCTATCAGGTTGGGACGTGGAACGATACGGACGGACTGACCATAGACAACAGCGTGATCAGCTTCTGTCTGTCTGTCTGTGTTACTATCTTTACCTTTTCTTTACCTCACGTATCTCTGCCGCTGTAGCCATGCAGGTTGGGACGTGGAACGATACGGGCGGACTGTGTGTGTGTCAGGTGTGTGTGTGTGTGTGTGTGTGTTCGTGTGTTCGTGTGTCTGTCTGCCTGTCTGTCTGTGTATGTACTTTACCTCACGTATCTCTCCGTTGTATGTTACCAGGTTGGGACGTGGAACGATACGGACGGACTGACCATAGACAACAGCGTGATCAGCTTCTGAGTGTCTGTCTGTGTGTCTGCGTGTCTTCTTTACCTCACGTATCTCCGCTGTATGTTGTCCTCAGGTTGGTGTGTGTTACTACGGTTCTTACCTCTGCCGTACATGTATGTTACCAGGTTGGGACGTGGAACGATACGGACGGACTGACCATAGACAACAGCGTGATCAGCTTCATGGGCGGCGGGCAGGTGGAGCTGATGGACGACTTCGTGAGCGACCTGCGGAACAGAACCCTCCGTATCGTTACACACAGAGACATCCCGTTCGTCATGAGGAACCTCAACGACTCGGAAGGGAACCCGCTAAACGGCAACGATCAGTACTCAGGTTGGTCACTTTCTCTCTCTTTCTGTGTGTCAGGTGTGTGTGTGTAAGAGAGAAGAGACAGACAGAGAGAGAGACCGAGGGAAAGAGAGAGACAGAGAGAAAGAGTCAGAGAGAGAGAGTCGGAGAGACAGAGAGAGAGAGAGGGGGGAGAGAGGGAGGGAGGGAGAGGGAGACAGACAGAGAGGTGGAGAGAGAGAGAGAGAACAGAACCCTCCGTATCGTTACACACAGAGATATCCCGTTCGTCATGAGGAATCTCAACGACTCCGAGGGAAACCCGCTAAACGGCAACGAACAGTACTCAGGTTCGTCACTATATACATCAGTAAATCCATATCTATCTATCTGTCTATCTATCTGTCTCTGTCTCTCTGTCTCTCTGTCTCTCTCTCTGTGAACCCGCTTCATGGCAACGGCTAGCATAGTACTCAGATTTGGGACTTAATACAACAGGACATCCATCTTCCTTCGTCTCTCTCTCTCTCTCTCTCTGTCTGTCTGTCTATCTGTCTGTGTCTCTCTCTCTCTCTCTCTCTGTGTCTCTTGGGGAAGTATTATTTGGATTGTCTCCTTAGAGAGAGAGAGAGAGAGAGAGAGAGAGAGAGAGAGAGAGAGAGAGAGAGAGAGAGAGAGAGAGAGAGAGAGAGAGAGAGAGAGAGATGTTTCAGTCTTGTTTAGGCCTGTGCACAGTTGTGACTCCCTATGATGTTGTTTTGTCCAGGCCTGTGCATAGACCTGCTGAAGTGGCTGTCTGAGCAGCTTGGGTTCCAGTACCGCCTGTACCACGTGGCTGACGACAAGTTCGGCAACAAGGACCGGACCACGGGTCGCTGGAACGGCGTCATTGGGGACCTGGTGTACAAGGTGAGACCCTGTAAGACCTGGTGTACAAGGTGAGACCCTGTAAGACCTGGTGTACAAGGTAAGACCCTGTAAGACCTGGTGTACAAGGTAAGACCCTGTAAGACCTGGTGTACAAGGTAAGACCCTGTAAGACCTGGTGTACAAGGTAAGACCCTGTAAGACCTGGTGTACAAGGTAAGACCCTGGAAGACCTGGTGTACAAGGTAAGACCCTGGAAGACCTGGTGTACAAGGTAAGACCCTGGAAGACCTGGTGTACAAGGTAAGACCCTGGAAGAGTTAGGAGAGTAGAAACGAAAAGACACTCCTGGTCCCGGGCCGGGGATCGAACCCACACCAAACTCGGGCACCAGCGATTCGGCTAAAAGGTCTAGACCCATCGGCCGGGTCAGTTGGTAGCGTCTCTACCCCCCCCCCCACTCTAATCACTGTTACACTACTCCCCCTTTTCTTTTCCCCTTGCCTTTCTGGCAAGTCTCCAGTGTCACTGACCGAAGGTTGTGGATGCTACCTGAAACGTCTGACCATTTCCAAAATCATATCCAGTTGCTTGAGTAACTGTTTATGGCGTATCGCATAAGTACCTGGATGTCTAACCTTCACTGACGTACAAGGTAAGACCCTTTTAGGCACCTTTACACGGGAGGTCAGTTAGAAAGGAAGTAATAAAAATAATGGATAGTTGCGATAAGCCCTACTAGCGAGCAAGGATACACAAGAAAAAAAAATTAGACATTCATGCTGTGTTGTTTGAGCCTTTGAAAGCAGATCAAATCAAAGGTCCATGGAAAATTGTCGTAATGCAGTTCAGAATTATTTTGTTGAGTGCATTTGGATTATATGAAAAATAGCTTGCAATCAAAGCACATTGCATACACATAATCTCAGGATCAGGTGGTATGTATCAAGCAAAGCAACTTACTGTAAGCTATGAATGCTTCAGACAACCAATAGTAATTCACTTAATGTTCACGGTAGCAAAATTTCACGGTCTGAGAAAAATGGACATGTTCACGAAACTATATGTTCACGGTGGTGACAGGTGAAGGAAAAAGAAAGCCCAAGAATTGTTTGTTAACTGCAATGATAAGTTCACTGTACAGAGGTGACAGTGAAAACAGTGAACATAACAGTATAGTGAAAAAATCAGGAATTACAGTATGTACCTTCCTATGTGACAATGACTACTACCATTCGTTTGGATTTGAACTAAAGACACATCTTTGGTAAATGCTTTATATCCGTGCTTAGAGATGCTAGCCCTGCAGGCAAAACTGTATGTCGGACTATCCCAAGGGAAATTAACAGTGTGGTCAATGTGGCGTCAGTATTTGGATGTACATATGTTAGGGTATGATAGGGACTCCGGCTTATTTCACCAATGCCAAGTAGCGATATTCCCCATAGAAAAGTGATGAATCATGATTTTCCGTTATGAGTATCCTTCGCCACGCTAGAGATACGTTCTGCATCATAGAATATTTGTACCAAGACAAATGTTGATGTCCCAAGCAATCCATGTCTTCCTGACCAGTAAGGCACGTTCTTGCCCCAAAGTTATAAAGAAAATTTTCCTTGGAGAATATGCTATATTATATTGCAGCTGGATAAAATATAGACATGCATTTCTACCTGTTGGCAGTTTCCCACGAAAGTTTATTGGCAGCCTCCGACGGTCTGTAGGGACTATATTACCTCAACTCAACTCCAAACAGGAGCGAAGTAATTTACTGCATGCCCGAAGAAGAGTCGTGAAGTAAATTTCTCGATGCTACTCGTATATCTATTTCATCAGGCTCGTATATCTACATTGTACATTGTATTTCATACTTCCTCGTGGACTATCTGGTACTCGTACCTGGACTTTCCTTTTTATGGGTTCACCACACCACGAAGTGGTGGTGAACCCATATTGCTTTTTCTGATGTTTCTTCTCCTCCTTCTCCTTCTCCTACTTCTCCTGCCATTTTTTAAATGGATTCAGCTTTGGTATGGAGGTACAGTGGGCAAATACCCCTAGGCGTTTTTTAAACTATTGTGATACAGGCTTTTAGAATGGTTTTATTTGAGTTTTTTGGCTGTGTTATAGCAAATGTATTACTGTGTTAGTGTGCCTTGTTTACCACGTTTGGGCATGAGTCATCACAATGGAATGCAGGGCATCAACCAATAGGCATGCAGCTTTCCTCTATACTTCTTGCTGATTGGCTGTTGGGATTTAACTTGATTAACACCTGCACAGAGCATTTCCACCTGCACAGAGCATTTCTTGCTGATTGGCTGTTGGGATTTAACTTGATTAACACCTGCACAGAGCATTTCCATACTGACAGTATGTCTTTATTCAAGTGTTTTGGTAGGTATTTCAAGCTTTTCTGCTCCAGCATTGGAATGCGGGGCATGAACGTTTTTTTTTTTTGAAAATCAACAGTTTGCATTATGCAATTAAAAATCCTAACCAATAAAGTAGGGAATAGCTATCCAACTGTTGTTTTAGTTGTATGTTACTTCATATTATAGTTATATCAATGTAAATCATTGTTTCCCTTGTGTTTCTCATTCTTTCCCTGCCATGTCGTAAAATGTGGTGAACCCATCGCTATATTTGCTCCAAAGCAAATATTGGCCTTTCTAGTTTTACATTTATTTTTCAATTCTTTATTGCAATGAAAACATATATCAAATTACAAAGGACAGTGTCATACAGTGAGAAAACACCTAAAATCATAAACAATATTACATCAGTTGTCCAACTCCTGGTTCGAAAAATATCTTGTTCCATCTTTAAAAATGGCAGCAATTGACTGACCGTTCGCATCTTTCTTTAGCCTGATTACCAAACCTATTATAACTCCCGAGTCCTACATCCTCTGTGCAAATAGAGACTGTAGGACTGGGGAGCTATAATAGGTTTGGTAACCAGCTGCAGGCTAATCTTTCTTTCCATCACACCATGTCCACCTGGAGTTTCCTCGCTGTAGCGTAGAGATGAAGAAGCAGATTTCATTTCACGAAGTATTCTCTATCCCCGCCCAGAATGTATGACCTGTGCGGCTCTTCACAGTTTGGTAGATACTACATGTTTAACAATTGTTGCTGCAGTCATTTTCTCACTCCTGTTCGCGGTTAGAGGTGAGCGCGTCGCCGACACGAGAAACGCCGCAGTAACTGAACCAATTCAGGCTTTATTCAGACTGGATATTGGATTCCGTAGAAACTGTATTCGTCTTAGGGCCAGCGTGGAATCCTCAGAAATTGCCTCTGAATAAGCCTGCATTTTGTACCGTTCAGACAACAAAAGGTCGATACAGGTGCTGCGCTGGTGAAGTTATAAATCTAAGAAGTACACTGTGATGCAAAGTTTAGATGTTTAAAGGTTTACAAGTCCAAAGGATGTATTTTAATGGAACTATTAGGAACATCAGGGAATCCCTGTCTTAATCATAATTCAACCTGCGATCAGATTTGAAGCACCTTTGCTTATTTCGTAATGGTGAATTAGCTACCACCATTGACTGGGTCAGATTCGCCATATAACTAATAGGTCTTCGAACGATTTTGATGCCATAGAGTGGAATAAGAGGAATGGGCTCTACCGTTAAATACAATGGCTTACAGACAGTGGATAAACAACCCACTGACCCTATGGCCTAGTGTCTAACAGGCTGGAGAGGTGATCGGAAAGAGTAGAAATGGGCAAAATAGACTGATAACATGCCAGGGGAGTTGATCCGCTTAAGGAGTACATTTGCCAGACCAGCTCCCCTGCCTATTTGTTATTTGTCTATTTGGCCGATTTCTACTCTTTCTAGCCGCTTCTGAAACCTTGTCGAGTCTATCTACTGCCTGAAAAAGGCCATGGGACTACCTTTACCTTTTTTTATCCCACCCTGTTCCCAGAAAGCGGACATGGCGATGTGTGTGTGTGTGTGTGTGTGTGTGTGTGTGTGTGTGTGTGTGTGTGTGTGTGTGCCTAGCCTGTCTGTCTGTGTGTGTCTACTCACCTCCCGTCCCATTCCTCCTACAGAAAGCGGACATGGCTGTGACGGACCTGACCATGACGGCAGAGCGGGAGGAGGACGTGGACTTCACCCTGCCGTGTGTCTGTGTCTGTCAGTCTGTGTGTGTGTGTGTGTCTACTCACCTCACCTCCCGTCCCGTCCACAGAAAGCGGACATGGCTGTGACGGACCTGACCATCACGGCAGAGCGGGAGGAGGACGTGGACTTCCCCCTGCCGTGTGTGTGTGTGTGTGTGTCTGTGTGTGTGTGTGTGTGTCTGTCTGTCTCTGTGTGTGTATTTGTGGTCTACTCACTTCCCCTTGTCTCCACAGAAAGCTGACATGGCCGTGACGGACCTCACCATCACTGCTGAGAGAGTGGAGGATGTGGACTTCACCCTGCCGTGTGTGTGTCTGTCTGTCTCTGTATGTGTATGTATGTGTGTGTGTGTCTACTCACCTCCCGCTGTCTCCACAGAAAGCGGACATGGCCGTGACCGACCTCACCATCACTGCTGAGAGAGAGGAGGATGTGGACTTCACCCTGCCGTACATCGAGGCCGGCTCCACCTTCATCATGCGGAAGAAAGCCCGAGCGGAGTACAACATCATGAACTTCTCCCGGCCCTTCCAGCCGGAGCTGTGGGCGCTGGTGTTCATCACTACCCTGGCTGTGGCCATCATCCAGTCTGTCATCAACAAACTCAGTCCATACAGGTCTGTTTGTTTGTTTGTTTGTTTGTTTGTTTGTTTGTTTGTTTGTTTGTTTGTTTGTTTGTTTGGCCATCATCCAATATCAGTCATCAACAAACTCAGTCCGTACAGGTAAACAACTCTCTTCTCATATGCATGTGCTCTACTACATCTACTGGACTACTAGATAAATCACAATGTAGAGAGATTACGTCTGGGCGTTCCAAGTGACATCCGTCAATCATTTTTTCTAGTTGCTCATACATAAATGATTATTAGTTTTATTATATAATTAGTTCAGCTAGTGATGCTGAAGAAGAATGGCGGATGTCACTCAAAACGTCCGGAAGTAACCTCTGTACTTCATTCCGTAGTACAGTTTGAATTCCCTATGGGTAGTGTTAACCTGGACCAGGATGTCTAACTATCAGCAAAGTAACTCTCTGGTTTCTGATTACGTCCAGGGTGGTTATGATGATTGGTATGTGGGCGTGAGTTTAAGGTCACCATAATGGCTATAAAAACACCAAGTACCGCTTTGGGGCTTTCTGAAGTTTTGGACCATGGGCATTGTTGTTACTTGTCCTGTTATACCGAGCTATATATGGTAGTTCAGTGACGTTCCCCATGGTGTTGTCATCAACATCGTCACGTTTTCGGTTCAGTTGTTCAGTTGGTGGCAATGCGATGAAGACATCGGAATTAGGACAATGCATTTCTATTGTCTCTTACTGTCGTCTTGTATATCCTTTGTGGCCATTTTGCACACCCATTAAGTGCCATACAAAGCTCGTGTGCAATTGCAATAACGTTAATGTAAAATGGAGATACATTGCTGTTGTCTATTAGTAAAAGTCAAAGTCTTCTATATCCTTTGTGGCCATTTTTGCACACCCATAAAAGTGCCATACAAAGTTCATCAGCAGTTTTCTTATGTATCATAAAATGTGACCTAATGTCCACCACCGTTGTCTCTAACTGTCATACTATATATACCCTTTGTGACCATTTTATTTTTTTAGCACACCCATAAAGTGCCATACAAAGCTCATATGCAGTATCTTTAATGTATCATAAAATGCGACCTAATCTCCATCACCGTTGTCTCTAACTGTTGCCTTCTATATCCCTTGTGGCCATTTCAAGTTTTTTTGCACACCCATAAAGTGCCATACAAATCTCATCCGCAAGACCTAATGTCCACCACCGTTGTCTCTAACCGTTGTCATCTATATCCTTTGTGGCCATTTCAAGTTTTTTTACAGACCAATAAAGTGACATACAAAGCTCATGTGCAGTCTTTTATAATGTGTCATAAAATGCGGCCTAACCCCCATCTCCAGCTGCACGGGGGGGGGGGACACTAGAAAACTAAAGAACAGTCACCAAATTGTGTAATACAATGTGCAGTGTCTTTAATGTAACCTAAATGGGACCTAATCTCCACCACCATTGTCTTCTGTTGTCTAACTGTTGTCTTCTATACCCCTCGTTTCATTTCTTACAGACCTTTTAAGTTCAATATAATAAAGCTCATGTGCAATATCTTTAATGTATCATAAAATGCGGCCTAATCTTCCCCACCAGTGGCATCCCGATGGACGAGGACAGCGTGGGGCCCGAGGAGACTGAGGAGGAATCCCCCTACACGTTTGCCGAGTCCCTGTGAATGTTCCCACACAGTACAATGTGTAATACAATGTGCAGTGTCTTTAAATGTAACCTAAACTAGGCCTAATCCCCGTTTCCAGTGGCATCCCAATGGACGAGGACAGCGTGGGGCCCGAGGAGACTGAGGAGGAATCTCCCTACACGTTTACCGAGTCCCTGTGGATGTTCCCACACAGTACAATGTGTAATACAATGTGCAGTGTCTTTAATGTAACCTAAACTCGGCCTTATACCCGTTTCCAGTGGCATCCCTATGGACGAGGACAGCGTTGGGCCCGAGGAGACTGAGGAGGAATCCCCCTACACGTTTGCCGAGTCTCTGTGGATGTTCCCACACAGTACAATGTGTAATACAATGTGCAGTGTCTTTAATGTAACCTAAATGCGGCCTAATCTTCACCACCAGTGGCATTCCTATGGACGAGGACAGCGTGGGGCCCGAGGAGACTGAGGAGGAGTCTCCCTACACGTTTGCCGAGTCCCTGTGGATGTTCCCACACAGTACAATGTGTAATACAATGTGCAGTGTCTTTAAATGTGGATTCTAAATTCGACCTTATACCCGTTTTCAGTGGCATCCCCATGGACGAGGACAGCGTGGGGCCCGAGGAGTCAGAGGAGGAATCCCCCTACACGTTTGCCGAGTCCCTGTGGCATTCCTTCGCCGCGCTGATCCAACAGGGACCAGAGTTCTTCCCACGGGCACCGTCAGGTGGGTGCTTCAACTTCTCCTAGGCTGGATTTCTTTGCCTTTCTTTTGTATGCTATGGAGTGATGGTCGTAGAAGGTAATCAAGAACAATAATAAAAAGGAACGGTGCTAACTTGTCTCTCCGGAGGACACCAGCAGTAACTTCAAAGGGACTTGTTTCGCCATCAGGGGTGATCACTGTAGCAGTGGTGTTAATAATATAATGTACAGGGACTTATCCCGTACAATTGGAGTATAGGTGCTTACTGTTCTCTCGCATTTTTATTGTCAGTGGTAGCAAGGAGGTTATAGTCAACTCTTAAAACTCTGTGGTGGTGAATATTCCCTGACACATTTTTTTATTGGATATATCTATGCAAAGTTTTGTGTCTTATCAATCTCTGGTTTACGACTCTTTATGGTACATGATTCTTGAAATGCTATGAATTAAGATTGCCACAGATATTTGTTGTGCCCAATCAGTCATTTTGGTCCCTCGCATTTGTTCTATCTGTAGTATCTATTCCCTGGCACCTTTCTTTGTTTTAAAGTATCTCTGCAAAGTTTTGTGTTATCAATCTTTCCGTGCATTTCTTGCTCCTGGGTGACGACTTTTTATGATGTATGGTTTTCATAATACTATGAATTAAGATTTTTTTCAGTGTCTGTGGTACGTAGCTATTCCCTGATACCTTCTTTTGTTTCAAAGTATCTCTGCAAAGTTGTGTGTTATCAATCTTTTCGTGCACTATCTGTCCTGGATTACGACTCTTTATGATGTATGGTTTTTACAATACTATGAAGTAAGATTTTATCTGTGGTACGTAGCTATTCCCTGATACCTTTTTTGTTTCAAAGTATCCCTGCAAAGTTTGTGTTATCAATCATTTCGTGCTATATCTTTCCTGGATTACGACATATTCATGATGCATCGTCCTTATAACACTATACATTAAGATTACCAGATGGACCGGACATATTTCTTGTGCTCTATCAATCTTATTGTTCGCCGTCGCTCCTGAAATAGATTCTCTATGATACATGGTTTCCACGAAATGATAAGCTAAAATTGCCAAATGATCCGAGATATATTTCGTTTGTTGGCAGTCTATCTATTTGTCGTTTTTTTTCAAAGACTCTCCTGTCTACGAAATAATAAATGAAGATTACCAGATTGGTCACAGATATTTGAAATTCCTTGTGACTTTCTATTGGCTGTCGCTCCTGAAATAGATTCTCCATGACATATGGTTCTCACGAAATGATAAATAAAGATTACCAAATGACAAGAGATATTTTGCTGAAGCAAGTTTGTGTCTTATCGGTCGTTTTGTTCGTTATCAGTCCTGAAATAGACTGTACATGATTCATGGTTGCCATGAAACCATAAATGAAGATTACATGATGACCAGAGATATTTTTGTCGAAGTATAATACTAAAAGAAGGTGGATTTCCATGCAGCTAACGGTTCCGTAGTTCTAGCGTGGGTGTCACAGCTGCCTGTGATGCTGCACTACGGGCGTGATGTAACCAATATGGCCGCCCCGACAGTATACTGCACCTGTCCAGTACTACTAGTAGAGTGTCTCCGGACTTTGCATGGAAACATTTGCCGGCGATGTTGACAATTCAAAAAGAGACGATGGTACACAAATCATGGACGGCTTTTCTCATATCTACAGGGATTGGGAATTCAAATAGCATCTCCGTATTAGTATATGATATAACTTTTTTTCTGTGGTGGGGGGGGGGTACTAGTATTAGGTCATAGCGGATTTCACCCAAGATACATTAGCATTCCAGACTTGTAGACGGCATCAGTTAAGACGATGCATTCTGTCTGATCAACTGTCTGATCATTTAACCGTTTTCCTCACCAGGCCGGATCACGTCCATATTCTGGGGGATGGGGATCCTGATCGTAATCGCGACTTACACCGCCAACCTGGCCGCCTTCCTCACCATCAGCCGCCTGGAGACTACCATCGAGTCTGTGGAGGACCTGGCCGCGCAGGTAACGTCACTTCACGTTATGGCAGCAGTACTCATAATTGTAACATGGGGGGTCATGGCTATAGGCGCGGCCTACACCGCCAACCTGGCAGCCTTCCTGACCATCAGCCGCCTGGAGACTACCATCGAGTCTGTGGAGGACCTGGCCGCGCAGGTAACGTCACTTCACGTTATGGCAGCAGTACTCACAATTGTAACAGTGTGTGTGTGTGTGTGTGGGGGGG